CAACCACACAATGCGAAAATGTCGGGTGTGATGCCAATGCCCAACATTCTCAACTCAAGCTATGGGGGCAAGTTTAGTTACCTCTGCGAGGTGGCAGTGGCATTAAACCAACTGATAACAGGTTCATATGTAAGAAAAACTGCACCCTCAGTCACCTATTATAACACCTACAAACTCAGTCACTTATTATAATAGGTGCAACCTCAGTCACCTACTGAAATGGCTGCCAGCTCGGGAATGGCTGCACGCTTTACCTATATGGCTGCAAGCTTAGTCACTAATTACACAGGTTTCCGACCCCTCTTGCTTCTTATCTTACCACCTTGAATCTGTGAATGGAGTTAATCTCAAGTACTTGTCTTTCTAGTTCATATCACTTACCCACAACTCTTGCACGAGACTTGTGAAACAAACTTCGATTTTTTGGGGGGTAAGTGGGTATTTCACATTTGGGCTACATATTCTTGTATTATTATATTACTTTCTGTGTATGGTGTTCTGAAGGCTTTCGTGCCAAAATTCATGAAGGTTACATGAATTTTCGCCAGGTTGGCAAATGCTAATGTTATCATGTTAAGGTGTGCTGTTATCATCGACTTTAGTGCTACGTATATTGCCCAAGCCTTACATATTAATGTTTTAAGTTTTAAAGTAATTCGTATAACGAACATGAGAGCTCATGTTTTACTGAGATAATGTGCAACGTGTTCGGGGGTTCTTAAAGTGATGAATGATGACCATTTCAGTCTCAAGAATCTTGGGGAGCGGCTCCCAAATGACTTGAGACATTGTGCGTTTTTTTTTTATGCCTGGTATGTCCTTGGGTACATTTTCGGGAGCGCGTGTACTCGACTGATTGTGTTTGTGCTGAGCTTCAGCTCTCACTATCTTTTCTTCAGCTCAAAACGCTTCATTCGTGTTTATTAACTTACGAGGGACGTGATGTGTGGTGTATACCACCCAACTTGGGTGGGAGAGTTCCGTACGACACCAATACTCTAGTATAAATTGAAGACCAAATCGAAACCTGATTATCTGCAGGGTGACGGTAGAGGGATAGCCTAGTGTGCAGAGGTTTGTCAGGGTGTTATTTGTAATAATACAAATGTTTACAATATTATTATTATTATTAATTATTATTATTATTATTCTAATACGGTGTTCTTGTTATTCCTGCTGTTCTTGCACAGGCCCCTGTGGTGACCTTGCTTTTTCCAAGTTGAACAGTCCTGAGCATGCGACTCCCAAGTATTAGTGTTGATGTCCAGGTGTTTGAGGGTCACCTAGAGCCAGTCCTTGACTCTTTTCTTCTTTGCACATGCATGAACGCGTGCCCTGGCATAATTCTCCATACAGCAGCTGTTTAGACAATCGATTGTCAGGCATTCTGACAACGTGGCCTGCCCATCTGGCCTGTAGGAGGGTGTAGACGCTGGGAATACCGGCCTCTTCCAGGACCTCCGTGTCCAGGATTTGGTCCTGCCACTTGATGTGGAGGCGTCTGTGGAGACAGCTCGTGTGAAAGTGATTGAGCCGTTTGGTGGGTATCTGCTGTAGACAGTCCAGGTCTTGCTGGCGTAGAGTAGAATGGTAAGCACCACTGCACGGTAGACTTTTAATTTGGTGGTAAGACTGAGTCCCCTCCGCTCCCAGACATTCTCACGGAATCTTCGAAAGGCAGCGCTGGCCTTGGCGATCCTGTTGTTGGTTTCTGCGTCTATGTTCACAGCTTTTGAGAGTATGGTGCCAAGATAGGTGAAGTTCTCTACTGCCTGCAGGTTCTGCCCCATGACAGTGATGTGTGGTTCCTGGTAGGGCACTCCGGGCGCAGGTTGGTACATGACTTCAGTCTTTTTGGTGCTTATAGTGAGACCGAAGTTGTCGCAGGCTTGTGAAAAGCAGTCAATTTCGTGTTGCATCATTTGCTGTGCTGGCGTTGAGGACGCGATCATCAGCAAACAGGAAGTCTCTTATGATAATTTCCTTCACCTCTGAAGGAACCCACCGTCAATCCTGTATCTGATGGGTATTCCATCCTGACAATTATAGAAGGCATCAGTGAGCATGGCCGAGAATATCATGCTGAAGAGTATTGGGGCAAGAGCGTAGCCTGGCTTCACACCGTTCGTCACTGGGAGGTTTTTGACTCGTCTCCATCGTCCAGTACTTTCGCCATCATGCCATCGTCGAACTGCCGAACAATATCTGTAAATTTGCCAGGACAGTCAAACTTCTCCATTATCTTCCTCAAGCCATCTCTGCTGACCGTATCGAAGGCCTTGGTCAGTCTATTTTGTGAGCCGCTATAATTTTTACTACATCAGTTTCTGACCTTAAGGAGATTTTTTTACGTCAAAATGCGACGTACTATTCGAGAGGATTATTAAGTTATCACAGGTGATCACAGGACGTGTTGTGTATGGCTTGACAGCGTGTGGCTTGACAGCGTGTGGCTTGACAGCGTGTGGCTTGACAGCGTGTGGCTTGACAGTGTGTGGCAATTAGCGCACATCCAGGCTACCCTCCCCTCTCCCAAAGCCTCCCCTCCCTGCTTAGCGTGTGTCCCCCACATCATCGATCCTTATGAATACCGAAGCTGGAGATTTAGGATATACCCTCAAATGTCACGATCATTCGATTCTTTCGACACGATATTACCTTCAATATTTCTGGTATGTTTTGTTCACAAAACAGGAATTTTCTTGCAATTAAACGCCTGCTCGATTAATATTAGTTTTATTTCTCGTGGAAATTTCTAAACCCCGAGAAAAACTGTTTACAGACTTTAAACAATAAAGCCATTATTTGTAAATGACGCCTGGACTTAATTACGCCGAACTGCGCACAAGAACGTTTGTCAGTTTAAATACTATTCACAAAGAGAATTTAATTGCTCCATAGCTATACTGGTGAAATTCCTTGTGTACCTCCGCCCTGACCTTGGACAATATGAATTACCATTAATGCTAGGGCAGATATATTTAAATCCTGGTGACTAGGATAGATGCCCCCGGTTTTATATTTCGTGACTTATTTCGTGTTAAATTATTGTATTTACGATGTTCCTCAAGGCAGTCTACGGGAGGTTAATAATGCAACGCGGCCGTTAGTTGATTGTATGCTCTTCATTGTTTCTTTGCGAGCTAATTTGTTGCACGTTATTGTTATGTTCTCACAAAAGGAGCTCGGCTAGGATTTGTACAACAAATCTTTTATATCTACTACATACCTTTACCTTCAGAAATATTTGTTATATATAGTTTTATATTATTTATTCAAAATAATACTTCTACAATTCACATTGAAAATAACTATTTCATTCCCGATTCCATCCTAGCAGAGATAAACAACGAAGACAAAGAATAAGACGACAAAATATAAGAAGGAAGAAATAAGAAAGATAAAATATGAGAATAAAACAATGGAAGATTGGGGGGGGGATGTGGTCCAGAACAATTAGAGCTGCCCTGAGCTCTAAAATCAAGCAGTTTACGCCCTTCATCCCTTGTTATGTTAAGCTGGTAGTCTCTGCCTCACTGTTATGAACTACGTTGTTCATATTGACTCTAAATACCCTAGGGTTATTTACATACCGGACGAGTAACTACCGCCGCACATTTAACATCTTGCGTATGCAAATAAGGAGTAGCTATGTAAGACTAAGCATATCTATAGTGACAAGTAGGCTGACCTTGCATGTGTAAAGTAAATGTTTTGGTTTAATCTCATTCATGCTGATTTGCGCATTGAACGTCAGTAAGTGATTGGCATGCGCCGATCATATTGTAGGCTTAAACATTGCGGTTACCTTGCGATGATTCCGAGGCTTAGCGTCCCCGCGGCCCGGTCCTCGACCAGGCCTCCCCGTTGCTGAACTGGTCAATAATGAACATAGAGACTTAAATGTATTCTCTAGCATGTTAATATTTTAATTGGCATGAAAGTCCCAAGGACATAGGACGTATCCCAGTTGCATTAACATCCTTCATATCTCTGGACTACAGAAGTCATATACTGTATGTTGTCATTTAATACATGTCAGATTGGGAGCCGGTCAGATACGGGATTGGGAGCCGGTCAGATAAGGGATTGGGAGCCGGTCAGATACGGGATTGGGAGCCGGTCAGATAAGGGATTGGGAGCCGGTCAGATAAGGGATTATGAGCCGGTCAGATACGGGATACGGGATCTACTCGCCAAGCCTGGCCCCAGGCTAGGCTTGGCGAGTAGAAGAACTCCCGAAATTTTCGAGGTATCTGCAGGTATATACTCCCCTCCTTCCCCCCCACAAAGCCCGCCCACAATCATGTTGACTGACTACCATGACCACAGAACCACAGACACAATACACTATAAATCACACTAAAATACAACCCACAACCCACACGGGAATTACAGTAATTTCAACACATCCGCATGACATATGTAGATCAGCCGCATTTAAACCGAATTATGTTTAGCATGCTATTCAATATCCGATCATTAACGAATCTTATTTCTGTCATTGTATATTTTTTTTGGTCAGTAATGGTGTGTTAACGGCCTGGCAATACAGACCAAGATGGGTACAGATTGAACATAAGGCTGTTAGGCTCCAACAGCTCAGTTTAAAAAAAAATTATCTATAGCTGAATGTATAAATAATACACCATTGCAACTACCGAATTTATGTATAATGCAAGCGACACATTACTTTGTGGAGGGTTATTAAGGCCACCACATTAGCTTACTGGCTACCCGACAAGTATACATTTGTTCTGAACAGTCGAGGACTAAAAAGACGTATGTAAATTCATGTCAATTAACTTAATTTTCCCCACGTACATCTTGACGCTCGGTAAACTTTAGGCAGGTGTTGGGAGTGTGGATAAGCCTCACATCAAACAAATACAAATACAGTATCTTAAATCAGACATGAAAACTATTTATACAACCGAGATAGAACCTTAGGTGGTAATCGTTGATTATTTGTTACTAAACAAGGAAATGCAAAATTCTTGTGAATCAGGACTTTTATTAACTCACATTTCTCCTTTTCTAAAGTTATGCAATATTGAGTGAGCGGATTTGCCCTTTCAGTTAAATATTAAATAAGAATTAAATTAAATAGTGTGAGTTCGGAGGAATAATCCTAGGCTGAAGGGCGATAGAACGTACTCTGCTGAGGGATCTATTTGATTGGCAAGGCACCAGAATGCACTAGGAATTCTACAAGTAAGACTAGAGCAGCTGCGGTCAGTCCCAGAGCCCAGAGCATGAACGCCCCCAGCAACTGTCCTAGCTGCAGGCTCCTCCCAGCCGACACCTGCCTCAACAAAGGGGAAAATATGCACGCCATTAGACCTTATTCCTAGTTATATATTTCAGATAATTTGCAAGAATCGCTTTTCATAAAGTGCACTTAATGTGACAGTGTGCGTTTATTTCTCAAGTATTAAATATTGTTATGTATGCACTCAATTCAGTCGGAAATGCACCTTGTTTAGGCAATATACATTCATTTAAATATATATGCACTCTAAGATTTTACAGTGTGCACCCATATATATATTCCAGGTGACTATTCAGTTTTATTCTGCTTCAAATTGAGGCTCTCACCCTTTGGCCTAGGATTTTTGTCCCCCAATCAGGAAAAAAAGGAAAGCAAAATGGTGAGCAAGCAGAAGACTGGCTTGCTAACGTTCGGCTTACTATAAGTTAATCGGAGGTACTAAAGTGTGTCTTGAATCATATCAGATATATGAAAGACCTGTTAGTTAATATACTGTATATTACCACGTTATTTAAATCAAAGTAAAGTACTTTCGTTTTAGTTAAGGTGGTTTATTATTTGAATAAGATTTAAGCCAAAAATGGGGTGAGGCTAGTATACGTTGCTGAGATGTTTAATTTTGCCTAATCCTGTACAATATTATGTATTACCGTATACCCATTTACTCCTGTGTCCTATATAATGTATCGTGTGTGCCAGCAGGCTCTGGCACGGCTCTTAACAATTAAGTGTCCTGACTCAGGTTTACTCGTTATTCTGTAATGTATGTGTTATGTGGCCAGGAGTGTGTCAACACCACTTGTTTTGGGGCTGGTTGATGTATATATCTTGACCAGTGTATACATATGGGTACTTGTACTGGGTCATGTTTTGCATAGTCTTGTAGTGTGTGTATTTTGTATTATACATTAGCGACAGCTCTGTGGATGGTTATTCATTCATGTTCGGAGCTGGTATTTTCGATTATCCCTAATTGTATTTTTGTATATGTTAAATTGTTTTCATTTTGTATTTAGTTTCTCTGCGGCGTTTGTACTTTTGTCTGTGCTTTTTCTCGTGGAATCAACGTGTGTCCTTTTCTTGTGTTGTGCTTTTGTGTCGAGTGTTCATGGTGTTGACCTCCGTGTTTTTTTTCAATGCCCTTTAATGTGTGGAAGTGCACCTGGGTGTTTTGCTGGGGCGTTGAGTATTACCTGTCTGGATGAGTGTCACAACACACTGTGTGCGCGCTCGAGGAGTGGTCGTGTACTGTGGATAATTTTGCTTTTGAATGTGCTTGAGTACTGCATGAGTTTCTTTGTATAAAATGCTGTTTCATTCATTTGTCTTGTTTTAATAGATTGTATTTGATTAGCCTGTTTTTGAAGTGTGTTTGTGTGTATTTTCCAGGTGTTGGTTTTCTGTTGTGCATCTAATGTGTTGCTCGTTTTAAATTTTGTACATAGTTTTAATTTTTATTGTACATAGTAAAGAAAATATATCCTGAACAAATTAGTCTCGGGGCGGTCTGATAACCCATTACAAAGTTTCAAAAACTTGTACCAAAAACTTATCAAAAACTCGCTCACCTTATCGTGGCCAACTTGATCTCGGCCGCGTACTTTCGCCATGCGGGTGTTGTACTCGTAGTCGACCAGACCGGCCTCCTGCAGGCGGGTCAGCGCCTCCACCAGCAGCGGCGTGTACGGACAGTTCTTCCTCAGGATCCACGACACGTAGCCCGGATACACCTGAGGGCCAACATATACATGTAACACACTCCGTGATACATATATAATATGCTACTAGTTGTAAGCTACTGACTATTCGTTACTCTGACTACTATTTACTTTAGAAGTAGACGAAGACCATTATTAAGAATGGTGTAGAGGTAGTGAGAGTTAAGTCATTGGTTCCTCATGTCTAGCAAGATTGATAAGTCTTTGAAAACGGATGCAGCTTGGACAAGAATGGCCTAAGGATAGATTGAAACACACCAAACCAAACCTAGGCCTATAGGTTTATATACAAAATCTAATCAGTTTAATATATGCATATGTACGAAACCAAAATAAATAATCTAACCGAAGTTTGCGTATTGTGCTGTGGTTTTTTATAAACGTAGAAAGTAAGATTAGCATAATGTAATATCAATAATTACATATTGAATTACTAAATTTGTGACAAATAATATCAGTAGGCCTACAAAAACAAACAGGAAAACGTCTTGAGTTGCAGGTTACCATCTCCTTCATGAAGTAGACGTCATCAGTAATGCCATAGTGGTCCACGATGTTGACCAGATAGGAATAGGTATCCAGCAGAGAATGTGTATTGCTCACTACCCACTTGAACCCCACGTCGAAATTCAGGTAGGCGTAGGGAAAGAGATCCATTTTGTTCCCCAGGGTGTACAGGGCCGGGTCTGTGGAGACCTTGAGGGCGGCGGGCACGAAGCTCCCGTAGTCTTGCATGCAGATCCTGCCGCCAGATGGAAAGCAATTGTTATTAACTGATCAATGGTGCTTCCTAGGAAGTGTTTAAATGGCCACCACATAACGCGGGTTGAATGGTGGACACTATGAAGTTGGAGGTAACTACATGTTGAAAATCACAATACTGTGATGAATCCATGAACACATACTGCTGCTTTATGTTTTGGAAAAATAATTCCTATAATCACCAGCTGTTATTGGGGACAGGGAGCCTGTAAAAATCACTGGATCAACATGTGGATGGAACCAGCGTCCTGGTGACCCCATGACGCTGCCCCCCAGTTCTGATACAATGATTTTCGCAGATATATCACCACTGTGATTTCCTATTGCATGCGTAGCCTGTACGTAGTCTTATCGGGGTCTCTCCACTATTATTTGTACTAACGTTAAACTCTGCGGACTTTGAGCGATACATTTCATTTACACTGACCTCCCTTCAAGGGAGGTCGGTGTATATCCTTGACCCCCTATGACACACACTGTATACAATTACCATATTTAATACAAAGTTAATGAGACTAGCCGCAAGCATCTGGCCTCCAACCTCCAACAGACATTCTCATAGATATAGATGGTCTTTATGGACCATTTATATTATATATAAATGACAATATATATTCAAACCCGTGTAGTGTTATAGGCTTCAGTAAGTGCTAATTAGGCATGCTCTTTCCTATATAATTCGTAATGAAAATAACTTGCAGAGTAAAACATAGTTCATAAGTGTGGATCACTGGTATATATCCTCTTCGTCGTAATATATAGAGCTTATTAACAGAGTCGTATATTGGATATAAACAGAAGCTGCTTCGTATTTACCAATAGGTCTTGTGCAGCTTCGCTTATTCCCATGTACGTGTTCTGTTTACCATTGTTTACCTCAGTCCGGAAGCTGCAAGCTGCTCCACCGTCTCGATCCGTGTGGGATAGACAGGAACGGAGAGGAAGGCGACCAGGTTGCCAGTGTAGGCGGTAGTGAGGATGACGCAGGCTAGTAACCAACACCCTAGCCACAGTCTCGTCCACGTCGCCTCTAGCCTCTGCTTCACGCCTTGACACACCACCCCGCCCAGGACCTGTACGTACAACCTCGACCTTGTACACAACCTCACCCCCAACAGCCTATAGTCATCGTGTTATTGTGTATTTGACTCGTTTGGACAAGTGTAAATATTGCCTACAGCTCCGCTAATATGCCAGAATGTAAGCAAAATTTGGTTACTAATTTTAGAAGTTTGATCTAAGCCACTATGTGTCTTACGCTACTACAGCAGAATGCTCACTCACAAAATTAGTATAAGCTGTACAGTAAACTAGCTGTTTGGGGCAAAATTTAATTTAAGTACGGCAGATATACACGCATCTATCATCAAAGTATATATAGGCTATCCACCAAACACTTACCAGAATAAAGACATTTGAGAGGTCGTATTGATCTGGCACCAGATGGAGGCAGAGGGTGAGGAGCGCGATCACCAACACTATGGTGGATATGATAGCCAGCCACAGGAACCCCGAGAACGGGTACACGAGTCCCCGCCACAATGGCAAAGGGGGAGGCACACGGAGCACAAACACGTAACTCTCCACGAAGTAGGGATTCGAGATGTCGAACTCGTAGATGATTTCGTCTGACAGCTGGATAAGATTGATGGCAAGGTCCTTGTCGTTATACATAAGATCCCCCAGCATGCCAGTCCAGGTTCCATTTTCCATTGCGCCCCATTTGTGGTCTTTGGGCTCCATTTGGGTAGTGTACGTGAAGTTGAGTTTAGCGGCGATGATATCCAGGAGGTCGAAGTTCGAGCCTACACACACATCGTTCTGTGGGTACAGGAAAGGGAAGTTGTCGCAAAAGGAGGCTAGTTGGAGCACTGAGCCATCAAGAGTTTTCAATCTCTCTGGGAAAAGACTGGTCTTAGAGGCAAAATCCTTCTCTTTCCATAGGCCCATAGGATATTTCACTACGGTGTTTTGTTTGAATGACTTGCTTGTGAAGACCTTAAATTTTGGAGGAACAAACTTCATCTCAGGTTCAATGAGCGCGATGTGTCTAGATCTCTGAATTTTGTCATTCCAAAAGAGAATAGTTGTATTTATAGTTGGGTTGAGATTAAGCAAGAGAAGAAAATCTGGATTCCATCGGTGATTCAGGCTGTCCAGGAGACGTTGTGGGTCCTCAGCAAAGATGAGCACTGTCGTAAGAAATCTCCCTCTAAGAAAGTAGAGAGAGGCCTGAAGGAAGAAATCCGTGGACTCCTCGCTGACGACCAGAATACCACCAGACGGTGTTGTGCCTCGCTTGGCCAGGATTATATCGATGTCCAGAATTGTCAGAGCTCCAGAATCGATAACAAAAAGAATGTTATCTTGGGCCAGTGGTCCCCGAAGAAGGCCGAGAATAACAGCTTCTGTTTGTTGTTTACTTGGTGCATTGTGGGTACACGTCACAGGACACAGCCAAGCCAGCCTCCTGCAGTGGACATTACAAAATAAACATTAATGGTTTTGGGCGGGAAGGTCGGCCATCTTGGCGCGCGGATTGAACGCTCCTGGCTGGACTTTCTTTCCACACCTTACCTGGAACTCATCTTTAATTCAGCTGGCTTCTTTGGGCCAGTGTGTGCTCACTGCAGCTACCCAGGGGCTCACAGGACCGGGGGAGGCCGGAGCCTCCCAAATGGACGCCTCCCCGAGCGGGGGCGCCATGGATGTTGACAGCAAGTCCCAGAGAGGAAAACGTCTGCTAGAAGATGAGTCGGCTGATGCTGCCCCAGAGCGAGATGCTAAGAGGATATCCTCCCCTTCAGAAGACCTTAGTCTTGTGGTACCCCGTTCCTCGTTTGTGGTAGTCCTAATCCAGTCAGAATCAGGTCAGTGCGTCTTTGCAAATCCTCGTACCTTAGGTGCAGCAATCGAGGCTTCCGTATTGTGGCCACATTGCCTGCCTGAGACCATACGTACCCTGGGTAGGGGTGCAGCACTCAAGCTACATATCAGAAAGGAGGCTCTATCACACATCTGTGTATCCGACATTAATAAGTTGGGGGACTGGCCTGTCAGGTGCCGACAGGTATTGTCGCAGGAGGAGGAGTCTCGGGCCCGGTATGGGAAGATTGGCCCAATTGACCAGAGTGTAGATGTGGATGACATCCAGGCCGCTCTGCAGGTATTAGGGGGTGCATCAGTGAGATTATTGGAAGTTACCAGGATTCGCGGAGCAGCAGGGCCGACATCCATGGTCCGTGTAAAGTTCGATGGGCACCTCCCTGACCGAGTGGCACTACACAGGACCTCGTATCAGGTTCAGCCCTACAATTTCCCTGTTTTACGATGTTACGCTTGTCATCTATTGGGCCACAGTCGCCTGACCTGCCGTAATACAGCACGGTGTGCAAACTGCGGCAAAACTGGCCATTCAGACAGAGATGACGGTGGGTGCTCTGCTGCACCCCGCTGCTTTTTATGCCATGGCCATCATAAGGTTACGTCTAAGAGTTGCCCTGTATATCTTGAGGCCCTCCAGTTGGACATCGATCACAAAACAGCGGGGACACCTCGACATGAGCTGTTCCAGAAGTTGCGTACCCTCAATCAGCCTATCGCTTCTTCTCGCCTCCAGGTTCCCCCTGGTCGGGCCTCTTCACAAGTAGGAACTAGCAGACGCTCTTGCCTGTCCCAGTCACATGCCACATACGCCCAGGTTGCTAATCGATTTTCCCTCCTGGGTAGCCTTGACACTGACGGAAACTCATCCACGGATACAGACATGGACGCTCAGTCTCGGCCGGAGCCTAGCACTCGTCACCCTCCTGCCTTTCCTCAAAGAAGCCAACACCGGCGTCGTCGACACACCCATCGATCAGGAGGTACTGCTCCAACAGACAGCCCTGATGATCCTCTGGTCCCCCAGGCACTTTCCGAAGGGATTGTGACACCGGGGGAACATGAGGCCCAGAGTGAGGCTCCCACCAGTCGCAGACGCCGTCAAGAGAGTTCGCGAGCCGACCACCGCTTCCGTCAGGCAGAGAGAAACATAGATCAACATCCTCTTGACTGGAAGTCATTGATACCACATATTTTACTTACTTTGTATGAAGGTTTTATGGCTTTTTCTAGTGGTTCCCCCTTTGGAGACGTCTGTGCACTGGTGGTCAAAAAGTTAGCTGTTGTATTTCAGGGATAATGGCGCCCCATCCTGAGAATACTGTGGTGTTTTGGAATGCCCGCTCCCTTTTTAAGAAGACGCAATTTTTACGCAATTTTATCGCCAGCGCACCACCGTTGATCGTGGGACTCTGTGAGACTTGGCTTACAGACGATCTTTCCTTCACAGTGCCGGGGTATTCTGTCTATAGACAAGATCGGCCAGTACGGGGTGGAGGGGGACTTGCCCTCTTGGTCAGGGACTCAGTTCCCAGCTCCTTGCTCCGGATTCACTCCTTCCCGGGTGGACATTTAGAATTCTTGGCAGTGAAGGTCGCCCTCTCCCATGGGTGGGGCACCTTTGGAGTTCTGTATAACCCCTGTCTACCGGTAACGAAGAAGGAACTAGAACACTATTTTGGTCAGATCACAGACACCTGCCTCGTCATGGGTGACTTTAACGCTCGGCACTCATCATGGCAACCCATGCTATCGGGTCGCCACCACAACATGGCTGGCCGAGCCCTATTTCAGTTTCTCCTTGACTCCCCAGACCTCTCCTTACTGACGCCGCCAGGTTTGGGAACTCGGATAGACCCGCTAAATGGCCATACTTCAACACTCGATCTTTGCATTGGAAGAGGCCCCTTCACGATGGCGCAGATATGGACCGGGCCGTACCTGGGTAGTGATCACCTGCCCATCGTCATCTCCTTCGGGGGCACTGTTCGTCCTGCTCTGACCTCCCGTAGATCCAAATGGATCTTCTCGGAAGAGGGGTGGCATGGCTATGAGGCGGATGACTGGTTGACCCTTCCCCCAGTTACTGCAGATCTCCATGGGTCAGCAGATGCTCTCTCCGAGTCCCTCTTCAGTGTAGGCTCTCGGCATTTCAGGAGGACTAGTGGCCAGACAACCAATCCTTCCCGCCGTGGGGCACCGTGGTGGACTCCTGAATGTCGGCAGGCAGTACTGGACCGGCGACGTGCGTGGAATTCGTGGCGGCGCCACCCTACTCCACTGCAGCGGCAGACCTTCCGCAGGGCGGACGCCAGGTGTAGACAAACAGTCCTCCTTGCCAAACGCAAGGCCTGGGCTAATTACTGTGCCTCTCTCCGATTCGACTCCTCCTCTGCGGGAGCCTGGGCCTTTGTTCGTAAGATGACAGGTAGGTACTCCCGGCCTACCATCCCACTCAGAGACCCCAGTGGTAATGGGGGCCTAGGGGAAGTACAAATAGCCGAACTCTTGGCTGACCACTTTGAAGATGTTTACCGTTCCCCGCTCCTCTCTGTGAGTTCCATAGGTTGGGGCTCCCGACAGGGTATAGGACTAGCTCAGGACCTGGATCGCCCATTTACATCTGTTGAGCTGAAGGACGCTCTGTCACTCTCTAAGTCGGGCACTATGCCAGGGATAGACAACGTCCCATATGAATTTGTTCGGAGGGCACCCAAGAGCTTTCAGTCCCACCTCCTTTACTTCTACAACGCCTGCTGGTCCTCTGGTGTCTTCCCTGCCCCTTGGAAACACGCCATTCTTCTACCATTGGCCAAGTCAGGGAAGGATCCGTCTGTCCCGACTTCATATCGGCCCATAAGTTTGCTTCCATGTCTCGGGAAACTGATGGAACGTCTTGTTCACACCCGGCTACAATGGGTGGTGGAAACCTCAGGTCTCCTACCTGAGGGTATCAGTGGATTTCGGCCGGGAAGAAGCACGATGGACTGCCTCCTCTCCTTGGAACATCGAATAATGGACACTTATCGACGGAGAAGAGTGCTCCTTGCAGCATTCTTCGATATCAAGAGTGCATTTGACTCTGCTTCTCATTCTGCTGTCCTTCAGAGTCTGGCTCGACTAGGTCTCTCGGGTCCGGCGTTAAGGTGGTTCCAAAACTATCTACAGGGCCGCTCATTCAAAGTGGCGGTTGGTGGAGTCGTCTCTACGTCCCGCCCTGTCTCGCGTGGTGTCCCTCAGGGAGCGATTCTGAGCCCACTACTATTCTCTATTCTTCTGTCTGATCTCCCTGTATTCCGGGGGGTCCAGGTTTTAGCCTATGCCGATGACGTAACCCTCGTGGCGGATGGTGACACTCTCCTAGAGGCACAAGGCTCCCTGCAAAATGCCGTGACTGTGTTCTCAGCAATTGTGCTGGGGAAGGGGCTCTCCATTAACCCTGTGAAAAGTTGCGTCATGAGCTTCACCTGGACCCGCCTACCAGACCAGCCAGTGGTGACCCTCGGGGGCTGTCGTCTCCCGATCGCTACCGAACACAGGTGGCTGGGGGTCGTTCTAGATGGCCCTCGGCTGACGTGGAGGCACCATGTCGACTACCTTCGGGCCTCATGCCTTCGTCGCGTGAACATCATGAAACGGGTCTCTGGTGCGGCTTGGGGGGCTTCACGGGAGTCGCTCCTAGCTCTCTACAAGGCCTTCATTCGTAGCAAGATCATGTATGCGAGTGAAGTCTATGGCTCAGCAGCAGCATCTGTCTTGGCAAGGCTGGATCCCATTCAAAATGGTGCCCTTCGCTCAGCGTTAGGAGCTATGCCCTCCTCGCCAGTTCTTTCCCTTCATGCCGAGTCGGGGCTATGGCCCCTGAGCTTTCAACGTCTTCTCGCCCACTGCCGCCAACTTCAACGGATAGTGCGTCTCCCTGCTACCCATCCACTTACTCGCCTCCAGCTCGAGGCCAACTGGTGGAATGTGCCGGCTGGACACTCCAGACGTCGTCAATTGCCTTTCGTCGTCCGGGCCTTGGATGCATATTCACAGTTTTCCCTTCCCGTCCCTGTACTCATCCCCGGCCCGATCATCTCACCTGTGCCTCCGTGGGCAGAAGAGATCATTCGAGTTTCTGTCGACTTTTCCAAGCCTCCTCGTCGGAAGAGAGATTTAGAGGGTTTGGCCCCTTTAATTTTTGCAGACCTACGAGCCTCCTTATACTCTGGATACTTAGAGGTTTACACGGATGGGTCCCGCAAAGATCAGCCACCATCTACATCTGCGGCAGCATACTTTGCTCCTTTTTCTTTCTGTCAGACGTGGAAACTCTCCCCTGCTCATTCGTGCCTGGCCGGGGAATTGTTTGCAATCTTACTAGCCTTACGACTCCTTCGACAAGTTTCAGGGCCCTCTGCAGTGGTTATCTACGTGGACTCAATCACAGCCCTACATCTGATATCATCTCGGCGTCCACGAGTCCATCGTCATACTGTGTCACAGATCCGTGGAGAACTGCTGTCATACTCTGTTACTCCAGGTTGGTCCATCTATCTCCAATGGGTTCCGTCACATGTCGGTATTAAAGGCAATGAGGTAGCCGACGCAGCAGCAGGGATGGCGCATGCTCTCCATGACACTACAAATGTGCCTCTAGACCTTTCCGAAATTCTCCCGCAACTCCGGGCGGCTTGCCTCGTGAGTTGGGAGGCAATGATGGAGCCAGCACTCAGGTCCTCCTCTTTGGCGGGTCTACGGGAGGATTCCTCCCCGCGTCCATGGACTCGTCATCATTCTCGACTCCTCGACACTGCCATCACTCGTCTCCGGATTGGGCACACTTGCCTGGCCGCACATCTCCATCGTCTACGGCTGGTAGATTCCCCATATTGCCAGTGGTGTCCGACCCAGGAGGATACAGTGGAGCACCTTCTACTTCACTGCCCTCGATTTCATAGCGCTCGCGTCAGACTACAGAGTTCCGTTCGTAGGCTGAATATTCCCCGCCTCACAGTTCCCGTTCTCCTTGACGGGGCAGGTGCGAGAGACGAAGACGTCCGTCATGACATCCTTCGCCATACCTTCCGCTTCATCCGTCATGTCCGCGGCCTGAAGAGACTAAAATTTGTCGCCTGAGGAGATTGTAGGGTCTATGGCCTGAAGAGACTATAGGGGCCCCATCCCTTCGCTATTTCCCGGTATCGGGCAGCCGGGGCGCATCCGATCCCACGATCGTCGTCGCCCCTAAATCAACACAACAACAACATGGCTGTTGAATCTGTCTGATATCGCGTGCTGCAGCAAAGGAGAAAAGGACAAAACTTGCATAAAATTATTGGAAAAGTTTTGTTTGTACACTTAACCAGCATACTCCCTTTAGCAAAGCCATAAACCGAATTATTGTTACACAAAGTAAATGTATCTCACCCAAACCAGATACACAAAGCCAGTGAGTTAATTTCAAAATAGTTTCAGGTCTCTAGCTAGGATAACACTCTGGAGAAATTGCGCGGGAAACCCAAAAACGGAAATGCTCTCATAAATTTTATGTTGAACAAGCAACATGATGTTGAACGTGAAAAAAATAATTGGACCAGGACTGCAGAATAACAGTGAACATTTTATAAATTATAAGTTTAGCGCTTTTAAACAGCATATACTGTATACAGCTTGCGAAGAAAGCCTTGGCATTGTAATCAACATTGACGAAACTAAAGTATTCAAGACAAATTGGTAATCGCAAGAGTGGACCACAACAATTAAAGATTGATATAACTTAGTGTCTCCTCATGCAAATGCATCGGAATCTCAGTCCTTTAATTGTATCTTACGTTGTATTTTTGTATAAACCCGAGGACCCAGATAATGCTGTATATCTAACAGGAGTGCTTAGAACTATATCGTGTCGCTACTATGCACCCGAATCATAGTAACTGACCAGAGGAGGGTGACGAGGTGCTGAGAGCCCTTCATCCACACGTCTGACTCTAATGCTGGCCAAGGCCACACTGGACTCGTGACCAGTCCTTGTACAGCTCTTATGGCCAGGTGAAAGAAGACGTGGGGAGGGGGTAGATTTTGTTGACGTTGTAGAAGGGGGAGGAGGAGGCAAGATCGCCTAAAATGGAGCAGAAATGAATAATATTGGCAAGGTGGCGTCCTCAGGCTAAGGTAGAGGGAGCGAGTGAAGGTCATAGTATGCATTGTTTTATACATAAATCACGACATAATTATCAGAGTGGCGAAGGTGAAAGAGGTTAATTACGTTTTTCGTTTGCCAGACATTTACCTTTGCAATATTCCTAACAGGACATCAGTTTGGCTGTAGAGTGACCCCCAACACCACCAGTGTTGGCAGGTGTCGGCAGGTGTCGGCAGGTGTCGGCAGGTGTTCTCGTTGTCTCCACTTGTAACATGACAAAGGCACAACTCAACTCAACTAATTATCAATCTCATTTTGTCTTTCCGGGACTCTGGAAATATTGTGACCATTTTCGACGACCTGGCTACAAGTTGAGATTAATTTAAAGATGTTCTTTACTTTCATTTTACCTTGTGAATGATATAATTTTAATTTGTCCTTGTTTAATTGTGATATTAATTATTTATATTGTACTAGAGGGTGTATCCTGCGGTGCCAGATCTTGTCTCTTACATACACACACACACACACACACACACACACACACTGATAGTATCAGTGTGTATGTCTTGTGTGTGTGTGTGTGTGTGTGTGTGTGTGTGTGTGTGTGTGTGTGTGTGTGTGTGTGTGTGTGTGTGTGTGTATCAGTCTGATACTGGTAGTATCAGTATCAGTCTTGTATCAGTCTTCACTGACCACTATCATCAGTAACCATATTTGTTACAGCAACGTCACTATAACCAACAGAATGGTTGGTTAACAACCATTTACACACGACCATCTTCATCACTGTAACCATCTTCACTACACACGAACGACCATCTTCATCACTAACCGTTATCATTACCCGGGCACCGCTGTTAACCCCATCTACACCCATCATCTGTACCTATCCTCGCTATTTCGCCCCCTTTCCCTACTTCACTGTCTTCGCCAATAAATAAACTACATTAAAAGAAACTAACATTTTAATCATCAAATAGACCATACCTTGCTGGGTGAATCTTAGTGAGAATGGAGTCTGGTATTGAAATATTAATTGCTTTCAAAGGTGTGATCGCTCATTAAGAGGCAGCTTAAAATACTCCTAATATTTGTATACACTTTCACGAGTGAAAGTTGAAGACGCCATAATATTAATGTCACATAAAGTGGAGTCATTAATACGTTTATCTGGTGCCCTCAGCTGTGTGGGTTCCCATGGAGAGTGTTACATAACCCGCCACTCCAACACCACATCACTCACTAATAATGTTACACAATCCCTCACTATTATGCTTGCTGTTGGACAGGATTATTGTTATGATTTTCTGCAGACGTCTCAAGTTTGCTTGTCGCTTCTTTACACGAATACAGTACTTGTATTTAGATTTAACAATCGCAGATTCAAAATAAAACGGATGCCTGCATATTCAGCACATTGGCAAGAATAGCTGCTAGTTAATTATTTGACACTGAAGGCCAACAAATGACGACATAAAGCACACAGTCCATCTTAACACCACCACCTCCCCCAGCACAGTAGCTCCAGGACCTCTTACTTGCTAAATACTTTTCGTAGCCAGACCAGTCAATTCAAGCAATGACACTCTTTCCAACACTATCTGTGATTACCCTGTTATCAATGCTTTCACATCAAATGGTATGAGGTACTATGAGCTCTGTAATTACTTCACACACTCACGAATATTGAAAGATATTCCCTTGTGCTTTACCCACAGTTTGTTGGTATAGGCTACCAGAGTCGACTCGCATCTCGTGTTCTGGTTCCACATAAGGGCTAGCCATCCTGTGAGATGGAGATATTAGATGAACTCATAAATAGCCTTTGATCTACTCTGTAATCCGTCATACACAATAATATAGCAGCACATTGCTGTGTATACCTGAGCCTGTTAATAAAAAAATAAGACCAGCTCTGAGTAGCCGGTAAGATACGGTGTCTTAAGTGGTCAGTAAGTCAAGGATAATGACAAACTTTATTAACAGCAACAGAGCCTGCCAGGAAGTAGCCTAGGCTATAAAAACTCTCTTACAAAAGGCGCGAGAGTAAATAATGAATAATGCACAGTACAAAGTGTTAAGTCAGAGGTGGTATATACAATATGCTCATAAGAATGTTAAGTAAAAATTTAGACTTATCAAGACACTTTCAGCTACGTTACAGAGGCTGGGAACCCGACATGTGGCTCCACCTGCGTCCCTCGTATCACGTCCAGACGATAAATAATATTCACGTAACATATATTATTATCCCGGAAGGAAGTTTAATTCTTCCACATTCTACAAAATATGTCATTACTGCAGGAAATATTTGCATTATTTTGTAATACAAGCAGACAAACATATTTTTAGGAGAGGGGAGTTGTGTATTATTGCGGTACGATAACTGCGGCGGTGCGGGGATATAATGCAGGCAGCGCACTGTTGCAACCCGAGTCTTGCAAGACGTCATGGCGCTCCTTGCACTCCTCAGGTATTTGTTGCTTTCTTAACTCTTCCAGGCATAAAATTGTGTATTTTATCAGCTTTAAAACACATGCAGGAAGACGTGCATTCAAAACTAAACTGAATATAAACGAAAATATTTTGTAAACCATAATAAGACTCAAGTTTCATGACTGCATTAACCCACTGAAAGTTTTTATTGTTGACAACACCAATGACTTCATGACAACATTCCTCACCAACTGAAGATTCTCAAGTTGACACCACCAATGACTTCATGACAACATTCCTCAGCAAGTGAAGGTCCCAAGTTGACAACACCAATGACTTCATGACACCATTCCTCACCAACTGAAGGTTCCCATGTTGACAACACCAATGACTTCACGACAACATTCTTCAACAACTGAAGAGTCCCATGTTGTCAACACCAATGACTTCATGACACCATTCCTCAACAACTGTAGGTCCCATATTGACATCACCAATGACTTCATGACAACATTCCTCACCAACTGAAGGTTCCCATGTTGACAGCCTGGTGGTGGTGGTGTTGAGTGGAGGGGCGAGGAGCCAGGTGGTGGTCGGCTACGACAACCCCGCTTGTGATGGCAAGACCGTCATCATCGAGATCTTTGAGTGGAAATGGACGGACGTCGCCCTGGAGTGTGAGCGCTTCCTGGCCCAGGCCGGCTACTGCGGCGTACAGGTTATTAACTATTCACTGATTGAGTTGATTTATCAAAGAACTGATAATTCAGATCTCTTGTTTTGGATACTAATACTTCTGAATTTTACAGTAAGTAGAGCAGTATTGAGCGGTTCCGGGTTCGATTCCGGAGCAGGAAGACACACTTAAGCAAGTTTCCTTACACATAATGGGAGTGTTCGCCTAGTAGTAAATAGGTACCTGAGAGTTAGGGAACTGTTGTGGGTTGTATCTCCGGGAAAGGCAAGTGTTAACCAAGGCCCGCCCTATCACCTTAACTGTGATAGTTGATAGTAGAAAATCATAAAACTTTATATGATTGACCAAATTGCACAAGATACCTACAGCCTTGTAACTAAATATATTTCACTGACAGATACTAGAAGATGTCCACATTGTCAACCATCAGGGTGCCAGTGGAGGCTGGTAGACACGACTCGCCCCACACACGACACCTTCCTGCAAGATAGGCATATTAGGCGAACATTTAATATTAATGCTAAACTCTGGAACTAGTCATGTGGGTTAGGACAACAGTACAGTGCTGAGCATGGAAGCTTGTTAATGAGAGCAGAATAATGCGTGGTCCTACGTCGTGGTATTAGTTTGGTGGTTGTTTCATGGGTGGTAATGCGTCTCCATTGGCAGATCTCGCCTCCCAACGAGCACGCTGTCATCACGGCCGACTACCCATACCCCTGGTGGCAGCGATACCAACCCATCTCGTACAAGCTGGTCTCTCGCTCTGGCAACGAGGAAGAGTTCATTGACATGGTACACCGCTGCAACGCTGTGGGTGTCAGGTGTGTGAGCCGTCAACACAACTAAAGTCATGTATTTCTACAGGCTTATCCATGAATTAAATTCTGACAGGTCACTTGTGAAAATCAGCTTCACTAGTACTCTGGCATGGAAGAGAGAACGGTTCTTCTTTCGTGACATTAAGTGGTGAATCAGCTGAAAATCATATGATTTTCAGATGTGTCACATAGTGTCACCATCAGAAGCGTCACTCTTCTCTACGACAGACACTTTGTGCTTGAAGGTTTGTCCATAGTGGTGGTCCTCTGGAGCAGTCATCAGCCGATGGGTGTGAGAGCAACGCACAAGCACAAGCCTTCAGTGTACCTCGGAGCCAGCATGATCATGTCTGTAAACTGGGAATCACATATGAAGCGAAATATTACCATGTCTTTCAGGGGTGGTTTTCCTTTATGTTTTGATCAGCAACCCTCGGCCAATGCTTTCACGTTTCAAGGCCTTCTTACATGCCTCAAACTGGCCCAAATGGTGTCCCTCTTGGGCGAGGCTTTAGTACTCACCGTCATGCTTGTGTGATGCGGGCCTTACTGCTTCAGGATCTTCGCGGACGCTGTGGTAAACCATATGGCAGGTCTGGGCCGGGAGGGAGTCGGGTCTGGCGGGACGCCGTTTAACTCCGACAACCTCGACTTCCCCGGCGTCCCCTACACCGCTGACGACTTCACGCCCAGGGAACTCTGCAATTCTTTCGACGGTGGGTGCTCACGCCCGCAGGTTTTGTTTTGATTTCATTATGGACCCCAATACCTATTCTATGAACGGTGGTAGAAAGGTTACAGAAGCCACGTAATGGTTCAGGATCTAGATACCAATAGAATATGCAAGTGAAGGACTCGCAAAGCTCTTCTCTCCACGCTTAAAGCACCCTAGTAAACACCTCACCCAGCCCGCGGGACCTGTTTGCCTTTAATTTTTCTGTTTCATAACTTATTCCCTGATAACCATTAAACTAATCAACCTGTCCTCTTCACCACCAATAAAGACTTGTTTGGCTGAAGGCATAATATTAAGTTCTTTAATAAATCCTGACGAAACATTTATTTAAAATACTACTCATTTCTTTGTCATTATAATTATATGACCTGTCTTCAGGTAACGTGAATAACTATGGCGACCCCTACAACGTGCGGAACTGCTACCTGGTGGGACTAACTGACCTGTACGGCGCCACTGACTACGTCAGGCAGAGCGTCGCAGGCTACTTCAACAAGCTGGTTGACATCGGTGTGGCTGGCTTCAGAGTCGACGCTGCAAAACACATGTGGCCGGAGGTAAGGAGTACTTTTGGGCCATAGAGAGACGAGATACGAAACATTTACACATAAAAGAATGTGTAATGCGGATGACAGAGCACGCAGACAAAACATGCGACGTAACAGAGATATTTATGACAGGACCTGCAGGCGATGATGGACCTCACCCACGATCTCAACACCGACCAGGGCTTCCCGGCCAATACTCGACCCTTCTTTATGCTCGAAGTCATCGACAGAAACGACGGTGCAGTTACTGTGCAGGAGTACTATGGCATGGGTAAGTGTAGTGTAAATACCGTGTGTGTTCAGAACTACATTGTGGGTTAGAGTAGCAGACCTACGGTGTAGGTTAGAGTAGCAGACCTACGGTGAAGATTAGTGTAGCAGACCTACGGTGTAGGTTAGAGTAGCAGACCTACGGTGTAAGTTAAAGTAGCAGACCTACGGTGTGGGGCTAGGCGAGTGTTGAGTGTTACATCCTGGGAAAGATCGGTTATTACTCTAGACTAAAGTTTAGACTTTAGGGAGGACTATAATAAGTCCAAGAGGAATCCTGGTTCCGACAACTGAAAACTTAATGTTTCTGATATAGTATTCTCCACCCTTACGATATTAATAACGACATTTCTGAACGTTTCTTCAGATAATCAGAACAGGAGAGGGGAACCTTGATTAGCCCGACTGCGTCATGGTCACACAAGGTTAACTGAGACCCATCTAATGGCGGACAATCATGCAGTAGTGTCAAATCATTTCCCTTACCAGTTTTCTCCTGTAATGCTTCATAATCTCCCCGGCTTGGCGCCTTCTTGTCATAATTACTTACTTACTTTCTCCTGTAACACAACCCGTCAATCGGTTTACAGTTAGGTCCGTAATTACTGCTGGATGAACAGGAGCGAACAGCTAAGGATAAGTACCTAGTACACTTCCTGCTAAGGACTCAAACCCGGACCAACTCAAAGGCAAAAGCCCAACATGTTACCACTGTCAACAGTGTTGTATACTATAGTTATACTGACTAAATACTTCCTCTTGATCATTGCCTTCTCACTTGATAATTCCTGCCCGGTGACAGGTCGCGTGACGGAGTTCCGCTACAACCAGAAGATTGCTTGGGGCATTCAGAACTTTGATCAGCTGAATGGTGTGTACGACCCTGGCTGGGGCATGGCTGACCCCGGCAACGCTCTCGTCTTTGTTGACAACCACGATAACCAGAGAGGCCATGGTGGTGCTGGTGAGTGTGTGGTGGTGGCGAGTGTGTGTGGTGGTGAGTACGTGGTGGTGAGTACGTGGTGGTGAGTACGTGGTGGTACTGGTGAGTGTGTGTTGGTGAGTGTACGTGGTGGAGAGTACGTGGTGGTGCTGGTGTGTAGTGGTGGTGAATGTATGTGGTTGTGGTGTGTGGTACTGGTGAGTATGTGGTGCAGGCGAGTGTACGTGGTTAGAATGTATGTGGTGGTGGGAAGTGTATGGTGATGTTTGGAGTGTGGTGGCACTGGATGGTGATGGTTGGAGTGTGGTGGTACAGGATGGTGGTGGTAGTGGTGAGTATGTGGTGGTTTAAGATGGTGGTGGCGAGTGTGTGGTGATACAGTGACCAATAGTGAGGCAAGAGAGGTAATATCCCAACACAGAACACAATACCACAGGAACTGGACACCTTGATCCCTCCCACAGGAGACACTCTGACCTTCAAGTGGCCCAAGGACTACCGCCTGGGGGTGGCCTTCACGCTGGCCCAGCCCTACGGCTTTACCCGCATCATGTCCTCCTATGACTTCGGCGACGACTCCGACGCCGGCCCGCCCCACCTCACGGACTACAGGTGAGTGTTGGCGACCCTCATGTAACCTGTTTACCTTGTAGTACTTGTGGGGGATGAGCTCCAGCTCTTTGCTCCCGCCTCTCAACACTTGCTCAACTGGTGCACGGGTTCCCGAGCCTGATAGACTCTCATATTCACATTCAACGTTGTGTATAGACTTAACTTCCACTACTTCACTTCGTGCGGCTATTTCCTGCGTCTCTGGTGTAGACTAAATCAACGACGATAATAACAGTGATTCACGAGGATAAATGTATGAAATATTAAATATTAATAATGACTACAATAGAGTTGTTATGTCTTATATTGTATTATTTGTGACTGGTTGCGTGTGGCAGCACAGCGAGTGTGGTGATCACTGGAGACAACCAGTGTGGTGGAGGATGGGTCTGTGAGCACCGCTGGCCGTCCATATACAAGATGGTACGTCACCTTGTCCACCAGGGCAACTTGTTATTCTACTCTACCTCATCTACCATCCTATACGTGTCTACTATACCTCATCTACCATCCTATACTTCTCTGTCTTCTGGAGTAGATAAATTAGTAACCTGGTACACGTGTCGATGGGTTTGTGATAGCATGAGGCGTCCACTCACCTGTTTACTGCTATCACAAACCTATATGGGGACGCTTCTTTGTTGTAGAGTATTTGCGAGGTCTCTTAAACAGGACTCCTTGATATCATTTCCGTCCCCTGTCAAAGCGCACCAAATGTTATTCCTTGACGATAGTGTATATTCCTCAGCCTCTTCGCCAGTCCCTTTCCTCAGCTACTCCCTCAGCGCCCTCCCTCCAGCCCGTCCTCTCCAGATGCCACAGGACGGGTTCCTCCTCCTCTCCCTCAGTCATTTCCCCTCACCCACTCCTTTCAAATACGTCTCAGTCGGCTACAGGTTAACTCCTACAACATAAGCGAGCTCGCTAATCTATTTTTTGATACATTTAAAACTTAATTACACACAACACAACCCAACACTCTCTCTCTCCCAAGTCAATGCAACCTAAACCAACAGCAACCTAACCCAACGCAACCTAAACCTAACCAAATATGACGTAAAGAAACGCAGCCTAACTAAACATAACCCAGCCCTTCCTAACCAAACATAACGTAACCAAACCAAGCATAAGCCAGCCTTGCTTAACGATTCACACAGTTCACACAATAATAAAAGGTGGTATGTGGGAGAAGGGCGACCACATCCTGGCTCATCTGGTGTTGGCCTACAGGCACGCTTCAGGAACGCGATGGTGACGAGCGACTGGTGGGACAACTACTACTGCGACGGCAACGTGGTGGCCTTCTCTAGGGGCAGCAGGGGATTCTTCGCCATGGTCAAGGCTGGTACAGTAGACCAGGTGAGGTTCCCGACAGTCACGGAGGTCTAGGCGAGTGCCACCATCATTATGAGCGTGCGAGAGTGAGTGAGTACGAGTGAATAAGTGAGCAAGAGTTCCTCATATAAGGAGTAACTAACCCAAACATGATCCGGACCGTGTCGTCCACCATATTATTGTTTACATATTATAGTCGCCAGATGTCGCCCTAAAGTGTTCGTTCGTGTGGCGTTCCGCAGACGTTCCAGACAGGGATGCCAGCAGGGACATACGAGGACGTGGTGTCCTGCCAGAGTGTGACTGTCAACTCAGACGGCACCGTCCACGTCTCCATCACCAACGAGGAGGAGCCCGTCTTTGCCATCTGTGTTGACTGTGACTGTTCTGAGCCGCCCGTGGTCACCGCAACACCAGAACCTGGTGAGTAATACACTATTTTGTATTACATTGTCCTGGGTAGAATTATTAGTAAAACTGCCAAATGCAGTTTTCTGTTGTCCATTATCAGATGAACACTTCAATGCATCATGGCGCAGCAGATGGGACAAGATGTGCTAGTGTTTGTTTTGATGGAAAGTTCATATTGGGGTCGCCATCATAATTTGTTGTTGGTTTTAATAACACATCTTCTTCACTAGACCGAACAACCACAACAACCACCACAACCCAGGGACCGACCGAGCCCAGCTACACTGACGGCATCCACCGTACTGTGATCTTCATTCACAAACAGACCAACGACGGTCAAGACCTCTTCGTCAGGGGCGGCATTGATGGCTCTCGCCGACCAGGTCAGCTTTGGCACATTCTTCATGGACAATATGGTCGAGTTTACATATAAACTGGTAGTTTACAAGGGTAGCACCAAGAGGAGGTATAACAGTATCACTTGCTACTCTAGTTTACACCAAGCACCACCAACAGGGTGCTCCCAGGACGCCGAGACTGACCCGTGTGCCATCGACATTACCACCAACTCCCTGGGCACGACGACCCACTACGACAAGTACAACTCGTGGAGGGAGGGCGACACCCGCCTTGACTGGATGGGTGCCCAGGTGGGTCAGGGCACCTACGGCGGTCAAGCAGCTTCCGGAACACCGCTGGCCTGGACCTCCAGCACCCCAAGCAACCCTGGATACCAGCAGCTCAACACGTTAGTTACACCACAAATGATTCATTTCAATCAATTAAAATGCGCACTAAACGATGAATTTTGTTCTGGGTTCGATTCCCGGGCAGGATAAGGCGCTTGGGAACTTACAGGCGGTGCCTCCGAGGGCCACAAGACCCTCTTCTATTATAAGAAGAGTTTAATGATCTGGTACAGCGGAATATAATCGTTTAAACTGACGTGGGTTGTGTGTACCAGGTACGGGGACCACTACTGGATGGTCGACGTAGACATGGACTGCTCTCAGACGGAGGACGGATGGTTTGAGGTGAAGGCTTTCCTCACCAACACTGATAACGGCTGGGAGGGAGACATCAGCCAGGTCTGTATTGTTGGTAACGGCTGGGAGGGATCCCAGTCTTTCCCCAGGTCCATGAGTTATATAAAATATATATATTTAATGTAAATAATGTATACAAGATACATATGTAATATAGTATAAGGACGTAATGAGTAGTACAGCAAGAGGTGTTTGACAGAGCGGAGGGTGCTCGGGAACGGGCGGGGGTCGGGCGCCCTACACCACCAACAACCACTTGGGACGCTGCGGCTACGTCAACGTCTTCACCTTCGACTCCCCAGCTTGTACTGTCAACGATTTCACCGATTACTTTGACATCTAATAAACTACCAAGCTGATATTTTGTATTTTTGTGTACCTATTATGCTCGCTTCCTTTACCATTATCAGAAACACGGATCAAATACTTATTAATATAATTTTGAAGTAATTAATAATACAGTAAATATAGGCCATAATAGGTTTATCTACGATGGTTCATAGTTGTTTTACAGTACAGTATTTTGTAACCTACACGGTTTCAAGGCTAATACTAAGCAAGACTAAGAGGGAATCACTAATAAACTTAAGTCAAACAATATATGCCACTGCCCTTACACGTTGCAATCCCGGGAAATAATGAAGCAGATAGGCTTCAAGGAAACTATCTATCTGTGCGAACGGTCTCTTAACAAAATGACGAACAGCTGAATAATGAATCTATGAAATGGTAACCATTTGCTCTCATCTCCTTGCATACCAACCAAGGATACGAACAAGCACTATATTTCACCTAAGACTTTGCAAAAATTTAACTTAAAATTTTCCAAAGCGGCCACAAAAATGTAAAACACCCTATACACAAAATGCTAAAATACAAAACGTCCAAAAAATAAAAAATAGTATATAATAAAAAAATCAGTTTTAAATACACATCGCGTTAAAAATTCATATAGACGTCTTTAGATTGGCCGCTGCATGGGCAAGCGTAGCCTATGGACGCGTAACGCTATACCACCACCAACTTGAATTTCCTAATTTAAAAATATATTTCTGCAAAATTAAATTTTATTCGGTGAGACTATTATTATACTCTGAGAAGCAGGTTAGAAACAAATGCTGGTCGTCTCTACTCATGCCTCTTTTTAAATCATTATTTCCCGTCTCCAACCCTCTATAGTCCTTTTATGAGTCTTCAGTAGTTCACAAAGTATTGTCTTTCTTATTCTCGAGAAGCAGAATATACACGTTTGCACATATGAAAAATACAAACCTTTTTAATTATTTTTTTTCAGTTAACACTTTCATAAATTAAAATCAGTATTATCTTTCATGGTAGTAATAGGTATACGAAAGAATGATAGTATTTATCATACATCACACAATAATTATTCCACACAACCGATTATGATAACTAATTGCTGACGATTAAAATCTATAGACATCAGCCCAAACACACTTGTTAAATAATTGGTGCATTTTTTACCTCATTTACCTCAGTAGGTTATTCATGTGTCGAGTCGTCTCGGAGCTGTAATTATGTCAAGATCTTTTCACGGATTGATACGTTTATATACTTGCAAATTTGACATGAATACTAAATTAAAGAATTTAAAAAAAATGTTTAGGGAGATTGTTAGACTAAAATATGTTAGTAGTGTAAATATGTTAGTAATGTGTATAGCATTATAATTTTGATATACAGTACTATATTTCACGAAATAGTAATTTTGTGCAAGTTATAGACTCGAAAATTCAGTTAGCATGGTCTGACATTTAATAAATTCTCTGGAAGTACAATCTGTTTTTTTCTGCAGATTATATTATTACAGCTATTGTGCAAAATACATGTTCTGATGGGAGATATGTAGTATGGGTGCTCCCAATAATGGCGCAAACTTTTAGAGGTCGCCCTGGGCACTCCTGGCTATTACTTCAATTTGACATTAAAGGGAACTGTTACATGGAAAAAGAAAAAGTCCTCTACAGGATCACCATAGCTCGTGCTACTTGGAACTTTTGTTCCAAGTAGCTGAATCTACTGACCCCAGTGCCTAGGTCTCTACCAAACACCCTCATATCTAATCCCCAACACACTCCCTGCCTCTCCCAATCACTGTAACCATCTTCAATTCACGATGTCTTCATCACTTTAAACATCTTCACATCCAACCCATCTCTCCCAACATGCACTTTCCCTGTCTGTCTATATCTGAATGCACCAACATTTTAACAATCGCTAAAATATACGAACTCTGGGGCAGAACATTTCATATTCACCCCATATGCTCTTTACATAAAATCACCTTGAAAAGTTGCACACCTGCTTCTAGCTTCCAACCTTGGACAGAAAAATTTACATTATGTTGTTATTGTTTTAGATTCGGCTACTGGAATAAATAGTCCAAGTAGGCCTAGGCTACTCTATCCCTTTGAGATGTATTTTATTGTCTAAAACATACTTGAACAAAGACGTATTAGAATTTGTGCATAGTTAGGCCCAAATTAGGTTTGGTTAGGCGATCAGGTTCATGTTGACAATTTCAGCAGTTGTAATACGTGGGTCAAGCAATCATAACTTTGAAAATTCATCAATTTTCGCTTTGAATAGTTATGATTTAACTTAGGTGTGATTCCAACCGAGGACACGTCGGCGAAGTACTGAGAGTTATGTGTAAACTGTTATTCTTTCATTAGAGGACTTGGCGGCTGCCTTAATTAGCACTTGGGTATCAATTTCGAGGAGGACTTGAACAGAGGGGCTGTGAGTTAGGTTCTTTTAATTGCCTTATACAATTTAACGAATAAAAAGGTTTTCGTGCCTTAACATCTTTATATTATGATAATCACGACATATCTGCATTAAAATCAGTGTGCAATTCCGGTTTTGGCCTCCACCGCCTTCTCACTTGTTCCCTTGTAACTTGTAACTCACTTGTAACACTTATATGCTGTGCTTCCTATTTTAACCTGCTATGTTAAATGGGATTCTTGTATTGTGATTTGTGTATTTGTACTCACTGAATTTGTGCGCCCCTTGAGGGACTTGAAGTAGAAGGGGGTAGAAATAGCCTAAGCTACTCTATCCCTTTGAGATGTATTTTTTTATTGTCTCAATAAACATACTTGAACTTGAAGTGGACTTTAATGTTTTTTTCGGCAGCTTTATTTCCTTAGTTTCCGAGCTGTTTTCTTTACCGTGTATGTTGTAATAAACTATTCCTATATTTACAGTTGTTTCTCCCTGTGAAGATTATTAAACAATGGTGATTATAAGGGCGCGGAAGTTCAGCCTGGCCAGGGCCGCCAGCAGCCCTTGGGCCCGCCCCGGCAGCTCCCAGTCTTTAATTTGGCACCTTTGTGGCACCTTTGTGGGACCTTGGTATAAGCCTAACATGTATATATACACTGGCTGCCTGTCCCCCTACACAATGATTTATTATTACCTATTATTTTATCATTTAATTTAAATATTAAATAAAATAATTTATTTAATTATTATAGTAAGTACTTAATAATTTAATAATAAGTAGTAAGTACATAAAAATGATTAAAAAGTACAGTTTAGTCATAGGAGATTCCTAGATTGGAATTCACTACCAAATTTCAATATATCCAAGTATTTTTAGTGTGAAATGCTGTTATTATATGCATAAATTGTTGTTTTAATAATATTACGCTTAACCACTTGGGCTGGACGGTAGAGCGACGGTCTCGTTTCCTACAGGTCCGCGTTCAATCCCCGACCGCCCAAGAGGTTGGGCACCATTCCTTTCCCCCGTTCCATCCCAAATCCGTATCCTGACCCCTTCCGAGTGCTATATAGTCGTAATGGCTTGGCGCTTTCACTTGATAGTTCCCCCACCCCCCTGAATAATATTACGAGAGCAGTATTTACGGGCTATTCATGCCCGTGCCACCTCTTGGGTGGCTTAATCTTCATCAATCGAGAGCAGTACGTCCTAACCAGACGTTATATGATGATATCCTGAACAGTTGATAAATAAAAGTAATTGCGGAACTCCAGTTATCTAATACTTATCATAAATGGTATAAAACCTTATCATAAGCCAAGGGATTTGTAGATCAGTGTTTAAAGGGAATTCGGAAGTAATAATAACACAGCTGATGCCATCTGTCGGCAGAAGAGAACACTATCAACTGGCTGGTCAACAGTGGCCATAAGATACAGCTTACGCCATCTGTTGACATCAAATTACACTTATAACAAATTACCCTACAAAATACAACTAACGCCATCTCTTTTTTTTCCAACGCACTATAAATAGCCAAACAGCAACCCATAAGGCGGGTTGTTGTGCTCGGGTAGGAGGTTCCAAGCTCCGCCCACAGATGGTATGGGGTGCATAATAAATGGCATATCATTGGTAGATATTCTTTGTTGACATTCACACAACAGCCAATCACAGGAAGGGATCAGCTAAAGGCTCCATCCACTTAATAAATCATCTTTATTCAGCACACCATCCTTGCTTATGACATTCTGCTTCAACTTTAATCTACCTAAAAAGTGAAATGTTAAGTATTTAAAAGTATTAATATAGTGATAATTAAATACTGCAGGATGTAACGGGTGTTACAGAAACATGGGCTGGCTACCTAACTTGTGACGTTATTATTGGGGGTTGCCTTGACACAAATAATGATACGCTGCTCTGCCCTCTTATTCGAGTAAATTATTCAGTTAGATGGAGATTTCTGTCAGGTGCAAAACAGAAATTGTTGTTCTTTTTCACAACAACCTTGTTGTTGTGCACAAGGACCTATTTCTTAGTTTAAATTTTATTCATAAAAGAGTGTTGGTATTCCCCGCAACAGCCAATCACAGGAAGGTATTTCTGGAAGCTCGGCCTCCTTATGGACTCAGCACATCGCTCTAGCTCATGGCTCTCTGTTTCATCTCTTGTATATACAAACTATGACTTTTTTCGATTACTGTTATAATTAATAATAGGAGATATAAAAGTTTTTACACAAAATGGCTAAATTCTGCCATTAAATGGACTTTGTCTGGTATACATACAAACATACACCAATTTATTACCATTCATCCATTATTAATTTCAAATGTAATGTATACTGTCTAGTTTTTTTCCTCTCGCCATTACTTGGTGCAATATTTGAAAGTTGTCTATTTATTTATCGATCTATCTATTATCTTGTATTTATATTTACAAGTTTCTGTGCTTGGAAGAAAACTCTGCATTGAATTGGGACTAATTTATTAAATAATATTTAGTATTAATTAATATTTACAATTATTATTAATTACAATTATTTATAGCTTAGTTACTTTCATGTAACTCGCAATCGTACATTCTTAACATTAATAGCCCAAA